TCCCCTAACTTTTTATTTGTTCTTTTGCAGTTCATTTACTAATTCATTAAGCTCAATTTGTTCCAATTTGATCATAAGTTTTATCTTTATTTTTTTTATTTTACTTTTAAATATTTTTTTTTTAACCTAACTTTTTATTATTGTTTTTTATTATTTCTTTCTTTCATTATTATTATTATTTTTTATATTTATTAACATCTTGTTTTCGCTTTTTATCTAACATATTTTGTTTCAGTCGCGATTTCAGCCGATCAAATGGTAAGTAATTCGGATCGAATAATTTTAATTTTAATTTAAATTCTAATTTTCGCAATTAAAGACAACCGATAAATTAATTGGTACCAAAAGGGCGGTTCAAGGGTGCTAATCCTTCCTTGACCGTAATCGACTCCCGAACCCGACATGTTTTTGGTACAACGCAGATCAGGTAAGATGGTGTCCGATCCACCTAAATTCGTTTTAAAGTGGTCGGTGGCGACTCCCAATTTGTTTAATTCAAGTCGAAGCCCAATTCCGGGTCCAATCGGAAAGACGGTTGCGACAAACGTTTGATAGGTTGTTCCAATATTTAGAGCAAAATATCTTTGGGTATTCAACAATAGGTATGTAGGCCATTGGTATGGCAAAATAATGATAAATTAGGACCTACTTCACTTGAGAATGTCAAAAGAAATCAATGTTAATTAGAATAGAGATCCTATTTTTTTAAGGCCGATTCGAATTCAAACCTTTTAATAAATATATCTGAAATCGATCTAATTTTAATTTTTTTAATAAAAAAATTTAAATTTATTTTAATTTTAATTCTAACTAAATCAAATCCGATCAAAATTTATCCCTACTAAGAAGTATGGATGAGTATGGCAGCTCCACACATTTTTAAGCTAAGCATTGAAGTCTACATCTTTACTCTTTTGTAGGGCATTGGGGGATTTTGGTGGGTCAATTTCAGTTTATTTAAACACTGATTTTATCTTTGTGTGGGCCAAAAAGTGTAAATATGTAGGCCATAAAAGTGCATGTTAAGTTGTTAACCATATTTTCCGGACTTCTTGTCTATTAGGCTTTTAAATATTGTATGAAATTACTGTGCAGTTATTTTTATGGGTAATCTACCGTATTCATCACTAAATTTTACTCTCTCTTCTATTTTAATCACTATACTTTTAATTTTTTTGATTTACTCACTGAACTTTTGAGTTGCTATTTTTCTTATCATTTTGAATTATTTTGTTATTTATTTTAGTATGAAGTGACTTTTTTATTATTATTTAATATAAAAATAATTTAAAATATAAAACCAGACGATGGTCGTCCACTGCTCGTCGTCATTGGATGCCATCGTCGACGACCGTAGATGATGGTCGTTCGGTCCCAGATTTCATCGACCGCTTCGTCTCGACCCCGTAAGTATGAATTCGACCTCCATTTTATCATAACATGATCCAACTCCGATCAAAAGTGAAGAAACTGAAACACCGATAGTCGTAGATGGTGGTCATTCGATCCTAGATTTCATTGGTCTCTTCGCGTTAACTCCCTGAGTCCGAATATTTGTCGAAACATGATTTGAAGTCCACGATTTAGCGATCAAAAGTGAGGAAACTGAAATATTTCAATCGAGAACTATGGGTTTTGGGATATTTTCTGGTGAAACAACCACCATATTCGAACTCAACGCGTCAAAGCTAATCTCTTGATATAATTTGGGATCAAACAACTACTAATTTTGACAGGGTTTTGTTTTCAAAGCGAGACAAAGTATCAATTTCAACTTTATCAAAGCGAGTCTCTTGATACATTGGTCTCTCAGTTGGTATTTCAACTTTATCAAAGCGAGTCTCTTGATACATTGGTCTCTCAGTTGGTTGTCAAAGGCTGTGCAAGGTTTTGTTTCTCTTCATGTCAGTAGTTCCTACCGTCCTTGTGATGCTTCTCATTCCTGTTCATTTTGGGGATTGTATTTCGTTTGTGGCAGTGTCTCCTTGGTTTGTTGTTTGTGTTGACTATAGTTGTTATCGTTGTTATGGTGGTATTGATGAATAAAATTTTCGAGCACTCTTTTCCTTTCGATTGAGTTTGTCTCTCAATTGGGTTATGAGGGGTTTTTTAACGGGGCTTGTTTTTCCTTTAAAAAAAACTATATGTATATACTAATCACATCATATGTTAATAAAATTGTTAGGCCAAGCAATATTACTATATGTTTGAAAAAAATAGAATTTAGGTTAAAGTATAGTTAAACTAATTACATATTTGGATGAAAATGGGAGACTTAAAAGTTAGGGGATCAGTTTAGAATGAGGGTCATAATTTGGGAATGAAAATGGAATGTCCAAAATTTTAAGAAAAAATTAGAATAAGAGTCACAGTCTAAGAATGAAAATGAAATATTCACAAGTTTAAGGATCAATTTAAATTAAGGATCATAATTTAGGGACATGTGGTGTAATTAACTCTTAAACTTTTTTTAAAAAAATATTATTAATTTAGAGTAAGTATAAAATAGTATATGTTCAATATAACTATCAATCTTTTGACATTAAACGCTCATACCCCTAGTATTCTTAGTGCTTGAACCCAATACTTCAAAGAATGACAACAATTCCTTTACCACCGAGGACCGATGTTTCGTGCTAAACTTTTAAACTCGTGTTTATATGAATCGTATATAAATTTTTTTGACTTTATTATCAAATTTTGAATATCTATATCTTCAAAAATGTTATTTTAAAGAGTAATTATATGTAATAATTTAATCAATTTTTGTGTGTATACATAGATTAAGTCATAAACGGTAAACATGATGATGTTTGCCACATTGTTATCATAGATGATTTGGTTTGCAGCAAATTGGAAAAAGGAAATGTTAATGGAAAATTATATTCTAATTGCACTATTATCATCAAAGGGGTCAATTCAGACTTCTGCCTAAATCAGTGTGTATTTCTTTTTAAAGTTCTTTATTATAAATTATCATTTAATTATCATATTTATCAACTTTGCTTAGGATAATTGTCTGTTCTTGTCGTCACTATGATCATAATGACATGTATGAGCACATAAAACATGTTAACGATGGTAAAAGTACACGACACTTTGATCTATATGGTTTGTCAGCTTATTTATTGATGGCTAACATTTCTGTATACGTAGTGTTTAGATTCGAAACCTCAGTAAATAATAATATCTTAACTATTAAAATTATTTGAGTCATGATTTAAATGATAATAATTTGTAAAATATCTAATTTGATTTAATTAATTAATAAATAATTATAAAAGAGAATTGAAGAAATAATAATTGATTGATAACTTCAATTTCTTCCCTTTTTTTAATCATCTATGGACGTGAAATGTCTTAATCTCGTAGTAATGACATCCCACCAAAAGAAATATCAATCATCTTTGTTTAATTAAAATATAAGTTTGGTCCAATCATATTCTAAATCAGTGGAATTGGGTACCCAATTCTTTTGATTTATTTTACTCCATGGGGTCTATCTAAACTCCGATTAAAAGCAATGATTCGACTAGTGCTTGTATGGAAACAGCCATTAAATTTGACCCGTGAGAACAAAATAATTAATTTGCTCAACCACTAATCTCTACGAATTAGAAATATATCTAATTTAATGGTATTTTAAATTTTTGTCAATTTAAACTTCTGTTTAATCACATTATATTTTTTTTTAATTTTAGAGATTAATTTTGATGATAATTCGTGACAAACGCATTATGAGATTGAGTGAGAGAGAACGTCGTGTCTTGAAGAGGTAGGAGACATTAATTCTATATTATAAAAGAAAATGATGTTACACATCTTATCATACATGTCTTCTATGAAGATTATAATATTTTCGTGATGAGTCATTGCTCAAATATCAACCGACACCGATTTGTTTTGAATCTTTCATGATTGGAATGTAAATAAATCAAATCCATGTGCATTTGCGTAATGCCATAGCCATCGTTCATTAAGGTCAAGAGCTTTAACCATTCAAAAACCCCACATGAAATATATCCTTTCCTACTGCCCTAAGCTTTAATACAAAGTGGAAATGGGTGGTTGAGCCCCAAAGCCATGAATGTGACTTTGGAAACAAAAAGGGTCCGATACCCTTCCCTTTTACGCCTTGAACCCCCGCCCCCTCCCACCGAATGGGTCCATTCCCCCCCACGGTTACTAAGCAACCTGATGTACCTATCAAGCTTGAAAGAGACGCCAGCTAATGAGAAAAATTCAGAGGGAAAAGGGTTGTGATCCATTGTAAGCAAGTTATTATTGAAAGATTGAAACAAGTTGAGGTGATTGCTACATACTATGAACAATAAATTGAATTTAAGATGATGGGAAATGCCAGCTCAAATATCTTATCTTCGTTTTTGTTTGTGCTATCTGTTTGTACACGGCATTGCATTTGTATCCCACAAATGCAGCTGCCTTATCTCTGACATTTTGTCTGAGCTAACGTTGTTTGAGGATGCAAATGGGGTTATCACCTAAGAGCTTCTGCCAACCAGAAATCTCCTCATTAACATATCCCTTCTCTTATCTCTCCTTCTCTCCCTTCATAAAATGGATTGGATTAGTTCGTCCACCAAATAAAACCAATGCTCATTCCTTCATAACATGGCCTCTTATTGGTTTATAGGTTAGATCAGACTTGAATTTGTCCACACTCTGATCTCATGTCCTACTGGGCTGCAGGACCCATGGATATGTTAGTGCATAACACATGCTCGGGTCATTCAAGTTCCACGTGTAGAATCTATTTCGGTTATCAATCTAGTCCAAGAACTCTACATTCGAATTTGCTCTGAAATTATTGTCTGAAATTATTCAAAATATTGTTTTCTTGGATATATATAATACACAGTACTCGAACACTTAAGATTAAGAAACAAGCACAATATTGACCTACTACTTAATTTATTTAACTATGTTTTTTGTTTTTATTTTTAGACGTAATGGCTTTATCTTTGTGAAATTATCTAAAGTTAAAACTGCCAACAATGGCTCGGCAGCCCCTTGGTCTTCTCATTGAATGAATCAGATTCACTCACCTTATCCGAGTTCGATTCATAAATCTCATGTAAATTATCGATCCGACCGCGGAATGGTGCGTTCGAAAATCTTAGAAGACAATTATTATACCGGATGATTGCAGCGCCGTAGTCCGGGCAGCGCTTCCGTATGAAACAACCTGTTTTAAGAATACATGTTTTACAATCGTCCTCAGAGAAATCGCGTCTGCAAAGTGCAAGACCGTAGACTCTGTCTGGTGTTTCACCGAAGGCACCGAGGGCAAACCGTGTCGGAGGAGCATGAGTAGAGAGGTGCATGATCAGCTGATTTAAATTGTCTAAGAATTTATAGGAAGATGCATTCCTATAGTTAGAACAACCAAAGGAAATAACATTAGCATCAGCTCCGTAAGAGTCGGAGCAACCAAAGTAAACAGCATTAGTTCCGACAGCCGTTTTGAGAAGACAAATAAAAATTATGAGATAAATAAAAAAGACGAATCTTGAAGATGACATTGTTGTTTATAATTATATTTGAATCTTGGGATCAAAAATTTATTATTTATAGGGACGAAAATGAATTAATTGATTATTGGAATTGGTTAAACATGCATGATGCATGTATGACTATTGAGTGCTAAAATTCATAGGTTTTCAATTAAAAAAAGTTTTGAACGTTACGTGCGGGTGATTAACTGAACACTTTTAACATGGGGGTATTACTTGCCAATTGCCATGGTATGCGCTTGGACCACGGGCGGACCCGATCCGAGTTGTACCTCTTCTATTCGGTTTATTTCCATATTTAGTTCTTTTATTTTTGCATGTTCTTCAATTTAGTTCTATTTTGCATGATTAATTTTTGTCTCGGTCCTAAATATTGGATTTTTTTCAGTTCAGTCCTGCCATGCTATAGGTTTTGCATTTAGTTCTAACTTAGTATTTTAATAAAATTTCGGCCCTAACATGTTTAGAATCTTATGAACATGTCATTAATTTAAGATTAGTTAATGATTTTTACATTAGACTTCTAATTAATTTCAACGTTGATTTTGTTTTAGCACTTAATAAAACTTTAGTCCTTGTAGTTTTTATATTTCTCAATTTAGCTCGTAAGCATGTTTTCTATTTCTTTCTTATTTTTATTTTTTGAAAGAGGGTATTTTGTATTAAGAATAACAAAGTACACCACCTCAAGGACCTCATTAAAAAACCTCCCTAACCCTAAATGGAGGAAAAAGAGTGTACCTTAAGGTGGTAATGAACAACATACACATAAAACTCTACATGATACAAGCCGTACCCCGGCTTACCGCAAACCCCAAGCTGACACATAATAACTAACACATACAAGCCGACAATATGAATATAAAACACACTAATCATTAAACACAAACAACAAGCCATTGGTAATAATCAAAGAGCACTCCTAAGTAACCAGATCAAACCCCACTAAACTAAACTTGGGACGAACCGTTATTAAAAGCATTGCTTTTTGCTAAAAGATGGAGCACCACCCTTGTCTCCCACGTTATCACCACCACCAAGCAAACTCCACCCATGTTCCAACTACTCACCACACCCTGCTCCACTCTAACGCCCATACCATATTGATCCAAAACCAATGAAAAACAAAAACTTGAAACTCGAAATAGAGTTAACAGACACCCAACAACCACCATAAGGAGCAACGAGCGGCTTTTAAAGCTGAGAAAGCAACGCCCAGAACCTCACCCACATGAACCGTTGCCCACACTTCAATAATTCTAGCTCCGTTTGGACATCAACAAACTCCTGATCAGGCTGGTGGGATTGCGCCAATTCCACCAAGCAAGATTTTACGGAAATTCCTCACTCACTGCTCTATTTAACGCCAGAGGCCCACCACGTGCATCATCGCCCCTGATTTTATGACCAGCAAAATCAAAAAATGGAATAACGAGCATATTCACATTCAGCAACAACCCTCATTTCCACCTCACTTTCCACTAGCCCCATACTAGTTGTCTCCAAGAAAGAAGGGCTAATGACCTCTCTCAAACTCAGCCAAAAACTCACTTGCAGAACTTCCACAGGAAACAACTCCCAAATCATAGAATCTGCCAATAATCTCAGACCAGGACAAAAGCGGCCCATCATCGACTCTATGGGCACGTTAATTAAACTATTACCAACAGCCACCTCCATCCCCACAACAAGAACTGCATGCGGAATCCAGGTTTTTAGGGCACACTCTTCACTTTTCTTTTTAGAGATTCAGTGAAACTTTCAAACTTGACCTCGAAACCAGCATATACAGCAGAACCCTCCAGATTCGTCGCTCCACCGTCGTCCGGAATGTCGACAATGAACACACAATGCACTACACAAACTACAGGAAAGGCCAATGGACAACACCTAAAAATCACACCAGAGAATATATATCTAGACAAGCTCACACATTCTAACACGGCATATCACCAAAGCACAAGAAAAGCTAAAGAAGGCCCGACTGAAATTCTTTATGAGCTGCTGAACGATATGAACACATCAGACTCTTCTCCATACAATTGAAAACATCCTTAAGACTTGTCGAATGATTTCTGTTACTAACGCTATTGACAAAAACGGGCCAACACTTAGGAACCGAAGAAGGACATACCACAACTCATTTTCTTCCTAACGCTCACACCAAGGATTTAGACATACAGAAATAATATAAGAAAGAAAAGAAGCAAAGTTGGACAACCCATACAATATGATAAACCAACAACAAAACCAAGCCTTAATCTTCTTCAGTAATAACAACAACCCCGATACTAACAACCCCCTCACTCAAAACAAGCTAAACCCCATGGTCTACCAACAACACAGAAATAATTCAGGAAAAAGGTAAGCTTCAGCAGAAAGAAATACCATTAAAATGAAGGAAAGGTAATGTCTGCGACAACCAGCAATGGACAATAAATTTCAAACCTTGCTTCTCTGAACCCGATTCCCAAAAACCCCCAAAATAATTTTGGGTTTAAAGTTAAGATTCCAACCTTTCAGGCAAAACCACTCACCCAAATCAAGCTAAGAAGCGAAAAAGAGGAAACAACGGCGACAAACAACGAAACACTTCTTCAAAAATAGCAAACTTGAGAACGAGAACCACTACACATAGTCAAGAGACATACCGCTGAACAGTCAACCTCTTACGAATACGGAAACAACCTCTTTCGCAAGGCGGGTGCCCGCCTCCACCACCATCCTAGTAGCTTACAGACAGCTAATGAAAGGTAAACTAACAAAAGAAAGAAGAGAGGAGAAAAAGAAGGATCGGCGGCCAGCAACCAGCCTTGAGGGCTTGTGCCTCTTTCTTTTTTATTATTAAAGGGTCAGTTGAATAATTTTATTGATGAGGGAGATAAGCAGACAAAAATGGCTCCCAATGCTTGGACAAGTGTTCATTTTGTCTTATATTTTTTTGAAATATTTTAATGTTCAAAGTTTTAATTTTCGTCAAAATAATTTATATTGGATGGAAATCGTTAGTTTATAAACGATCAACATATATTACTATATTACTGACATAACATTTTCACATGTGATTAATTAATGATGTGATATATTTATTTTTTTGTCATTTATCATATCACTCAAAGTGATAATAGGTCATTCGTTATGTCACCTAAAATGATGACATTGTGCATGTCACATCATTCAAAGTGATGACGTTTCATGTTGCATGTCATCCAAAGAGATAATGTCTCACGTGACACGTCTTCAAATTAATGACATGATACATAATACATCACTAATTAAACAAGTGTAAAAATATCACATCAACAATATGTATTAATTGTTAGTTAACTAATTATTTTCATTCAACATAGACTAATTGGACCAATAATTAAAATATTAAGAGTTAAAATACTCTCGAAAAAACATAATTATAAAATAATAATATGTGCAAATACTAAAAAAAATAATTTTATCATTATGATTTGTTCAAGAAAATATATGATGTGGATAAAAGTATTAAATAAATGGCTTGTCCAACCTTATGGCACTATAGTAAAATAGAAAACCTAGGTATTGTTACACAAACCCTGATCTAACTTAAAGTTTGCTCTGACATCTCATACGCAACAAGAACATTAAGGTAAACTTCCAACTTTTTTTTTTTTTTGAAACTTTAAAACGAGGAGTGGAACACGAGGATTTTTCAGGAGGTCAATCATCCCAGTATTACTCTTGCCCAAATACATTTAACTGCGGAGTTCTGATGGGATCTAATGCATTAGTGTTGGTATGATTGCACCCGTAAACTTCCAACTTAGAATGTCAAAATCAGGAATGAAATGAAGGATCGATAGACTAATTGATTTCTTAAAATTTTTAAATTTTCATATAATTTTTTTTAAATTTTATTAATAATATGTTTTTGTACTTCTAAAATTTTATAAATTCTTACATTCTAAAATTTTATAAATATTTGTATCTCTTAACATAACATTTTATGTTATTTACTCGTCAAAACCTTTTACAAATCAAATTTTAATGCACGTCTAAGTGAAAATATAGATTTGTATAAATGAACTGAAACACTATGATTTAAATTAATTTAATGATACATGAAACTATTGAAAAAACAATGTAATATAAACAATGTGTTTAATCTACGAGTAATTTACAGAAGTAACATCTGAACCCCAATGGCAAACAATCCGGCGAGAGTCCAGCGTGAAGCCAAATAAGGTATTTCACCGTCACTACTTTCCCTGTCCCCCGTAGTGGCGGTCGGCGTGGTGGAGCCATTATAGTTTGGATTACTGCCGTACAACGATTGAATCCCTTGTATATCATCATCTTCCAGCTCCACTTTCCTCGTTCCCGAAGTGATCGTCGGGTACATAATCGCATCTTCCACTGACGAATGCCCCAGCCCCAACAAATGCCCGATCTCGTGGACCGCCACCGTCTCCAAATCCACAGCAGATGGAATCGACGACCTCGTAACGTCGCCGGAAACGACCCAGTTCTCGTCCGCATCCAAATGGAACCTCCCGCTCGTAGGAGAAAACGCGTGAGCCAACGTCCCTAAAACCCCATCGAACGGTTCTCCGTCTCCGTGGTCTCCGCTGTAAAAACCAATCGTGATATCGGCGGTGGAGTACGAATCAGTTTCCGTGAACGTCAGCGGCGTAACAGCGGACCATTTCTGGAAAGCGCTGGTGAACACGGCCTTCACCTCATCCGTCAATTCGTTTCCGGGTAAGAAAGCATACGTTAAGTCCCTCCTGTTAACAGGCCAACGCGGCGTTCCCGGGAAGAAAGTGTAATGACCCGTCGTGTGGAAGTGTCCGACGGTTTGGAAAGACGACGATTTACTGGAGTTCATGGAAGAGGTTCCATTGACAATATCGGCGTTACCGCACCTGGGTCGTACGATCTGTTCAAGAGTCCGATCATCGAGTTGACCCGTAACATTAAGGTTGAAATTCTGCTGGTATGCCTTCAAGGCCTTTTCAAGCTCGTCATCGAAATCGTCGGTAAAATTAGACGACGGAGAGTTGGGAATATAACCGAAGTTGCTGAAGTATTGTTTGAGCTTAGACAAACCATCTCGCGTTTCTCCCGAGTGGCAGCCGGCGAACTTCGTGAAGGCGTCCCATGCGGCGGCGAAGGAGGTGGCGTTCGGGTGTTGCTGCCATGGCGGAATAGCCGTTATGTTGGGCAATAATGTAGCCGAGATTGAAGCAAAAGAGAGCGAGATCAACAAGGTAAGCATAAAAACTCGATGTTCCATCTTCTTCTGCTTCTGTGCGGTTGACAATGGAAGATTAATGGGAGATTCATAGGAATGGAAATCGAAAAGTCTTGTGGGAAGCCTGCGTTGAATGTCAATTAGTCAAACATCATATAAAAAATTAGGAGATCATACGTTAAGGTTTTAAATAAGAGCCACGTTTCGTTTCATTCCTTCTTTCCTACACGTTTCCACCATCCACCCTAATTCTTTCCCATTACCTAATATCGTGAAAATTCTATTATCAAATTTATGTCCATCACAGTGTAAATTTTCTAAATTAGCCGCGGTCACACTGTGTTAATGGTCTCGACTAGTCCGGAGTAGGTATTGTAGGGGCAAGGACGACTCTTCCAACCTAGTAATCTCCTCAAATCTCAATCAAAACTAGAAGTTAGAATTTTTTAATCCACCATTGTCAACCATCAAATTAGCTTAAAATCGAACTATGTTAACCTTCTTACGAAAAGTATCCTTTCCATTATTGGGATATGATCGGCGATTGCTCCGCTTATCGGAAAATTGACCTCCTCTTTGAATACAAATTTGGATTCTTAGATTGTTTTGGAAGAATACTTTAATGTGCCATGTCATCATTTGGTGGTTAAAGTGAAAACGAATTAAAAATTTTGTGAATGTAATACAAGTTTTGAAAATTTTGGTGACTACAGTGAAATCATCCTAAAAGTTCAATGACTACAAATGTATTTTATCCATACTTTTATTATTATAAATTTTATAATTTTCAAAGGACTAAAAGATAGTTTTACCGAGAGGCGACCTAACCTTTGCGCCGCCTGCGCCTCTGTCGTATCCGAATGCATCCAAGTATTCAAGGACATTCAAGGGCCTACACAAAATGAAAGCGACATTCGTTTTAAAATATAGTTTTTTTATTAGAAAAAATAATATATAATAATTATATATCATGATAAAAAGAAAAGAGAACGAACGGTCTAAGATTGAACCTGAAAATTAACATCAATAGAAACTTCAATTCAACAAATTTCTTTTATTTATTATAAGTTTTTTCAATAAAATAATATATAGAATTCATCATGACAACGACATACCAAAATCATGTATGTATTACTATTGGTTGGTCAACCACATAACTTATAGGAGTTGTTAACCTATCATGTAGCTAGGGACGTGGTCAAATATACTTATGAATCAAGTTGGGTCCATTAATCCAAATTTTAGATAGTGACGCTTTTAGAAATAAGGTTTTGAAAATTTGATTATTAATTCACGATGCCACGACAATAGTCGTTTTATTTCATTATCATAAAAAAAATTTCTAATACGAACATCAGCATATGGAAGAACGAGCAACAGATTTCTTGAATTCGTATGAAATTATTAATATTTTAATTCGGATTGACCCGCGTCGCACACTTGATTTTGACGGGTGAATTTTTTAGTAGGAATTTTTTGTATACACAATGATTCGAACTTGAGACTATGTTTAAACGATATCAAGCTGCTTATCAATTGAACCAACCCTCATAATTAATAATCATTCTTTTTTAGTTAACATTGGTGATTTTTTTATTATAGAATGAATTTTTTAAGGAGTGAGAATATTATGAGAATAAGAGTAAAATTAATTATTTTAGATAAGAAAATGAAGTTATTTTTAAAGGATGAAACATTAGTTGGCTTGCTAATAATATTCATGGGACAACATTTATAGGTGTAGATATTTTATTAAAAAATGACCGATTATTAATTATATTTTCAATACATCTTAAAACGGAATTTTTAGCCCAATAATCCAGACGAGTGAATTATTTGGCCCAATAGGACAACAAGAAATTTATTTTGGGATCTACGGCAAATGTTATAGTGCCCATGGAACTCGTTATGCCGGCGTGACGAGTTCCATGAGATATATTTTTTAATAGGCCGTGTCACGTGGGTCTCACAACCCGAATTAATTTAATATATCTTAAGGGCATGACGAGTCCCAATAAAAATAATTTTTTTTTAAATTAAAAGCATTGAAAAAATATTTTAATGTTGATGGAACTGTCATGGCGGAGTGACGAGTTCCAACAGGTATAATTTTGAATTTGTTGACCGTTGAGTTGACTGTTATTGAACGAACAATTTAAAAAAAAAAAAATCAATGGAACTCGTCACACCGGAGTGACGAGTTCCAACGGTTAAAAATTTAACATTCATAACACACTACTCTCATCTCTTACACACACAAAACACTCATTTGATTTTCAATCTCTTACAACAACAAAATCTTTTCTTCTAACCAGAACATTATAAAATCTTGTAAAGATTCAAAGGCAATATGAGGTTTCTTGTAAAGATGTTTAAGACAGTATATTTGCAGGTTATATAATCTTTCCATTTGCTTTTTGTATGTACCAGAACATTGACTTTGTCTTTGTGAAGTTCAGAGTCATCATAAACCTTCAGTTTACTTCTATCTTTGTTGATATGCTCTTGTTGCTTCTAGATGTTAAATCATTGATATTTTACTGCTTCCATGTTATGAATTGTTAAGTAGTCTAAGAGTCTTTTCCTGTTGTGCAAAAGCTTTTGTGCATACATTTAATATTAGAGTAAGAACTAAGAAGAATATCCTTTTGATGGTTAGGTTGGTTGTTAGCTTTACAGTGGTTTGGGTATTTCTTAGCTATACAGAATTTTATAATAGCATTTGAAAACTATTGTGTTTGTAAGTGTTTTGGATTTTTCTTTTCTCTTTATAGATTCTTCTGTTATAATTGATATTCCTTTCTTATTCCAGACTACGTGTTGCAAGAGATTACAAAAGCAGGGTTTGTTGAACCAACAGCCATCCAATCTCAAGGCTGGCCAATGGCTTTGAAGGGCCGTGATCTCATTGGCATTGCTGAAACTGGATCGGGGAAGACTCTTGCCTATTTATCGCCTGCAATTGTTCATGTAAACGCACAGCCAATTTTAGGTAAAAATTTCACTTGTTATCATGATTTAATTTTCTCGGTATGTTTTTAATAACTGGGAGGGAATAACTCTTGGCTTCTTTGTATATGTTTTCAGCTCCCGGAGATGGTCCAATTGTATTAGTATTAGCTCCAACACGGGAACTTGCGGTTCAGATACAGCAAGAGGCTGCTAAGTTTGGAGCATCGTCAAGGATTAAAAATACATGCATATATGCGGGGTTCCAAAGGGACCTCAAGTGCGTGATCTCCAGAAAGGTATGCGGTAATATGCTTGGCTTGACTGTTACTCTGTATTTTGTTGTTCTTGAACTGCTTGTGCTCTCATACACACAGGTCTTGATTTAAGATGCTTTCTGACATGTTTATTGTTAGTTTAAAGTAATTGGTTATCTTTTAGTTTGTAATTGCTTAAACTTGTTGGCAGTAAAGGTGTTAATATTGTTTGTTGGATCAGGTGTTGAGATTGTTATTGCTACACCAGGAAGGTTGATAGATATGTTGGACTCACATCACACAAATTTGCGAAGAGTTATTTAGTTTTGGATGAGGCAGATAGGATGTTAGATATGGGGTTTGAGCCTCAGATACGAAAAATTGTTTCTCAGGTCTTTGTTCTTATCTTTCTCTTTCATTATGTTCTTCCCCTCAACCCCCTCAACTTTGCCCATGACAAGTTACTGCTTATGTATGAGGACAGTTCATTGTGAGCATAATGGATTCCCATGAAATTTACATTTCTTTAACTCGAGAATCACACTTCAAAAAAAAAATGAGATGCCAGACTTCGCTAGTTGTCTTGTTGCTTAATTTATCCTAGTGATATGGTGGAACTCAACACTTTAGGATGATGATAATGTTGACTTCAGAAGTATACACTAGTGCTATCAGTGTTCATGAAAAAAAAAATAGATTCATTGTTTTAGTTTACAGTACAATGCAGCCGTGCAACTATCTGAAGAAAAGTGACTTAAAAACTATAGGTGTTACTCTCCAAATTTCTATTTAGTAAAAAATATGTGATTGTGTAAGATCTCTATTTTTTATATAAGCAATCTCATTAATTAGCTTCGCCCTCCGCCTCACTCTCTCTTTCTCTAAGTGGTACTTATATTTTATGCAGATCCGTCCAGATCGACAAACTTTATACTGGAGTGCAACATGGCCAAAGGAGGTTGAACAATTGGCAAGGCAGTTTCTTTACAATCCATACAAAGTAAGATGCTTCACAATTTTAGCAATTTTTGCTAATTAGCTTCTCCTGTGAGGAAATGTGATCAATTGCCTTTTGTTTTGACATTTGATTTTCTATCTAATTCTTTTGCAATCTCCATTTATTATCTCATTTGTTTTCTCTATGTTATTTTATAACATGAAAATTTTTAGTCTTTCCAAATACAACTCTTGGCTTCTCAAATGTGCTAAATCTGATCTTAAGGCAAAAGTAGGATTTTGGCATGTGACTTTGTTGTTTATGATGTCTGTTATTTACTTAAACTTATTTTTCCATTTGTCTTTTGTACAGGTTATAATTGGATCTGCTGATTTAAAAGCTAACCATGCAATTCGCCAACATGTTGACATTGTTTCGGAGAGTCAGAAATATAACAAGTACAGAACAGAGTTTACTTTGTTTGAATGGGTTTTTGTTTAAGGTAAAAATAAGTGCTCAAACTATACCTAAAGAATTTTTCATTAAAAATAAGTTTCTAACGTTTCCAACGTTACACTTTAGGTGCCTGGACTGTTAATACCGTTAAATTCGACTGTTAAGTGATACGTTTCAGGCATATATAATTTCAAAATTTTTAAATAATTTTTTTAAATTTTTTAAGCCTAACATGTGTCACTTAACGGCCGAATTTAATGGCACACCTAAAAGTATAACGTTGGAAATGTTAGACACCTATTTTTAACAAAAAAATTCTTTAGGCACCTAAAGTTAACTTTGGGTATAGTTTAGTAACTTATTTTTGCATTAAGCCTTGTTTTTTTACCACTTAGTCTGTGTTGGTGTTTTAGATTAGTGAAGCTGCTGGAGGATATCATGGATGGCAGCAGAATTTTGATTTTCATGGATACCAAGAAAGGTTGTGACCAAATCACCAGGCAACTTCGCATGGATGGTTGGCCTGCTCTCTAGATTCATGGAGATAAAAGTCAAGCTGAAAGGGATTGGGTCCTTTCAGAGTTTAAAGCTGGCAAGAGCCCTATAATGACTGCAACAGATGTTGCGGCTCGTGGCTTAGGAATGTATATTAGTTAGTATGGGACCAGGGGGCTTACATTTCTAACTTGGCCCGGCCTCGTCATCTGGATTATTTATTAAATTTAGTTGGTGGCAGATGTGAAAGACGTGAAATACGTAATCAATTACGACTTCCCGGGATCTCTTGAGGATTACGTCCATCGCATTGGTCGAACAGGAAGGGCGGGGGCAAAAGGAACTGCCTACACTTTCTTCACAGCTGCAAATGCCAGATTCGCAAAAGACCTTATTGTCGTACTTAAGGAAGCTGGACAAAAGGTCAGTCCTGAATTGGCAGCGATGGGACGTGGTGCACCTCCTCTTCCATCAGGTTAGCTTACTGTTTTCCTTTTGGAACACGCAGGTGCAAGCAAATTCAATGAAATCGAATAATTTTAGTTAGTTCTCGTAGCATTTGCACGTTTAGATACTTGCTTTGTGGTGTTAAAGAAAACACTGGCGCATTGCCACACATTATGGAGATCATTGCTCTGGCTCTTCAATCCAATAGAAGTGAACCGGTTGAATTGCCAGATATATTACCTTCGACTTTTATGCATGAATAAGAATCTCCATAGCATGTTGTAAACAGGTTCTAAAAGCTTGATACATAATCTCAACTACTAATTTTGTTCATTTGACAAAGCAGGTCATGGTGGTTTCTGAGACCGAGGTAAGGGCTACGGTGGCGGCCGCCCTTGGAACTGATCAAGGAAAAGAGACCTCCATAAAGGGGTCTAAATTGTGTTTGTTAATTTGTTTTGACTACCACCTTTTGTTTTTGTGGGTTCAATTGTTATTACCTGTAAGACTAGCAGGAAGAACAAGCATAGATGTAAACTTGTAAATTAATTGTCTATTTTCAAGATTAACCATTTCCCCCCACTATATTTGACTTGCCTTTGTTTCCACTCAAATCCAATATTGCATTGTAAATATTATGGTTTGCATTTTAAACTTAGTCTAATTTATCTTTTTAAAGATAATTGTACGAATCAGTGACATTAACAAACGAAAAAAATATTTTTTATATTTAATTTTCCTAAGCATAACCTATATTATATATTTAATTTTTAGTATATTTTAATTTTATTTTAGTATCAACTCTCATGAAAGATAAAATGATGCAATTTAAGAGAACTAAAATTAAATTGATATAATCTTTAAATATGAAAGTTAAATTAGAATTAAATTAATAAAGTTTACAAATTTTAAGAATTAAAATTATTTTGTATCATATTTTAGTACAAATTTTTCTTATTTTGAACGAAAAAAATGACTTAATTATAATAAATTTTTAATTAATTAATTAGATTATAATATTTAAATTTGATAATTTACCACTAAATTAAGTGGAATGAAGTGTGTTTAACCCTTAAACTAAAATGTTTGGTGGCTAATCAAATCAAATAAGCAAGGGAGCAAGCAACGTGAGTGAGAGCAGAGAAAATCGAAGCTTTGCTGGAAAAGGATTCCCAAAATGCGCGAAAGTCCAAGCTCTACGATCACAAACCCAACAAAGGTATAACAAAACGAATTCTCTTCCCTAAACCATTTTTATATTTCTCAAACAATTCTCAAATAGCAGAGGTATTTGGTTGTTTGAAATTCGATTACTGCAGCTCAATTGAAGCAATTTCAGCAGCAACATAAAGGAAAGGATTTTCCTTCAACATCATCAGGTGCAGCAGCATCATATACAATGGGTCAGCCCCCGCCGCCGCCACCTCAGCCTCCAAGGGAGTCGTTTGCAAGACGTTACAAGTTCATTTGGCCCCTTCTTTTGGCTGTCAACTTTACTGTAGGAGGTGATTTCCTTTCTTTATGCATTTTTATTGTAGTTCTTGATTCTGTTTGTGATGGGTATTGTTGTTTGAAGTTTGAATAGATGAAGATGCATCATGACTACGATTTCTCTTGTTAGTTCATATCCCAAACATAGCTGGCCAGCCTGAATCCCCAGGAACTCTGATTATTTCACTCAACTGACCCAAAATATTTAGTTGAGCTGATGAGGAGAAAAAAAAAGAGCTGATTTTTCTGGTATTCAACCAAAAGAGGTGTTTTGATTATATAGATATATGTAAACGAGTAATCCCTAACTTTAGTACATTCACAACCTAAAAGTGCATCGAACTGATGGGGTTGAATGGTTGTAGTAAACATATTTACATCCGAACACTGTGCTATGGTATTCTCATAAATTCATTGTTACTAAACTTATGCACCGAGCATCATGGAGTGATTATCTCCATAATCGTTGAGACTTATAACAATGATGATGAGTGACTTGATTGCTTATTTGTTTCCTGTTTACCGATTGAAAGCTGCTTCATTGATTTTCTTTCCACATCAACATTTCGATGATAAGTTGCAAACTGGATTAGCCGTAAGTTATAACTGATGCAAGATTACAGAGGAGCAGATATTGAATAATAGCCATGGCATTCATATAGCCATTTCCTTCAGATCAAAGTTGGATTTCTAGTCCTCAAATCAGTGAAGTTTTTATTTTCATGTTTGTTTCGGTTTACTTTCTAGTGTTTTTCTTTTATCCGGTAATTACCGATAAAGAACCCGAATCATGTTCAAATGAGAGTAGCATGAGTAGTTGCTCATCGGTAAGAAAATGTCTTGATGTGTTGTATGGACTTCTAACAATTTCAGGTTCTGATAATTAATCGTAGATCAGGGAAGAGAATTAGCTATTGTTTGCAAGTGAATAGCATCTTTTTTCTACACATGTTGTTCACTTGAGGAGCACGTCTTGATTGATTTTCTTTGTTGGGCCGTAATAATTAGCATTAACCATCTCACTTCTATAATCGTTTAACCGATTTGTGGTTCACCCTCACCGGTTTATGCCGCTTTCCTGGTCGAACTCGACTTTTTAACATAAGTTTGTATTTGTCTGATAAAAATCTGTATGATTAATGCAGCTTATCTTTTCATGAGAACGAAGAGAAAGGACACGAGCATGACCGAAGCAGATGTTGATTTGAGCCCTCCTATTTCAACTGCTGCTCCTCCGGTTACCGAAACCCCATTACGTGCACCACCTATCGCACTGTATTTGAAGGTGATTGAACCGATTCCGAAGAACCAGCAGCATGAACTTTTTAAATATATATTGGAAGAGAAAAGGAAAGTCAAACCGAAAGACCCCGAGGAGAAGAAGAGGCTCGATGAAGAGAAAGCTCTACTTAAACAATTCATCCGAACGAAATCCACCTCAGTTATGACTTGATAATACATTGCTGAAACTTGGATCTTTTATCTTTCTTTCAAATTTTGGAAGTTGTGGAAGTTGTCGCCATGTTATTGCATATTTTGCTGTTCCAACCCATAATTTTTAGCCAATTTTTACTTTACAATGATAAACATGTCAATTAAATTAAGGTTCAATGGACAAATCAATGTTATCTTTTACGTTGCACATTTTGGCATGATAAGATCAAACATCTCTCCGTAGGATAACATACTTAATCTTTCGTTCTTGAATTTGCATGACGATAATGCCAACGGAAATTAAATTTAAGGGTAAACTACATCATTCTTGATTGAATTATACTCTCTTTCATATTTATTCACTGTACTTTTAATTTTTCTAATTTTTTCACATAACTTTTGAATTATTCATATTTTGATCGCTCTGAATTATTTTATTATTATTTTGTATGATGTGACCTTTTTATTATTATTAATATATAATAATTAAAAATACAAAATAAAAACATATGGTGGTTGAACGCCATCGCTGACCACCGTTGATCGTCGTAGATGGTGGTTGTTCGGTCCCAAATTCACGACTCGCTTTGTCTCAATATCGTGAGTCCGAATCTACCCTCCATTTTGTCAGAACTTGCTCTGAAGTCCATGAATTGAAGATTGAAAGTGAGGAAGTCGAAACGTTTCAGTCGAGATTCATGTGTTATGGTACATTTTCTAGTGAAACAACACCAGATTCGGACTCAAGGGGTTAAGACGAACTGACCTGTGAAATTTAGGACCTAACGACCACTATCTGCGACGATCGATGGTGGTCGAAGCCGACGGTGGCGTTCGACCACCTTCTGTTTTTATTTATATTAAATAATAGTAATAAAAAGTCACATCATACAAAAATAATAAAAAAATAATTCGAAGTGATCAAAACATGAGCAATTCGAAAGTTCGATGAGTAAATTAAAAAAATTAAAAGTGCGGTAAGTAAAATAGGAGATAGAGAATACGTCAGTGAGAAATAGTATATTTTAACCTAAATATAAAAACAACCATTTTACCATTAATTCTTCTTTTAAACTAACTCGACCCAAAAGTGAATTAAAAAATTAATATTACAGTGTCTAGTTGGAATTCATCAAATTCGATTCAAATTGTTTCCCTAGATATACGTGACGCTAACAACAACATGAATAAATAACGAGTTAAGGTTTCATTTTACAGAAAAAAAATTTTTTTCTAATATTATATTGTTTAATATAAATGTGTATATTGGTTAACGGTCCAACGATTAAGTTGTAACAAATCAATAATATAAGTGATTAAACCATAATAATTGAAAGTTAAGTGATCAAAATAAGATGAAAAATAAACACGAGTGACATCGGGTCTAGTTTACCCAAGTTATATTCTTTTTGGGGTCTGGCCGACTCAAAGCTAGCTGTTTCGCTCTATTCATCTCAAGGAAAAATGGTTTTATACCATTTCAATCAAGTCGCTTCTCACAAACCCTAATCGTACATTTTATATTCTCAGGTTTCAATTTATCTTCCTTTTTCCCTTTTCATTATTCTTCCAGTAACATTAACAGAAACTTAGGACTCAGATATTTCTAAAAGAATTTTCTTCTTCTTGAGCTGTTAGTTTTTTTTTCTTAATTCACTGTTTGGTTGTGCAGGCAAAGCGGATTTGGATCAAAGAGAAGAAGTGAGATCCCCCCCGGCGCTCAATTTGTTCAAGTACGAAGAAATAATATTTTCTTTCACTGTTTTACATTGGGAATTCAGGATTTTTTAAATGCATGGTTTTGATCTTCTAACTTCTTCCTTGCATCTATTTGTTTTTGTTAATTTATATATATTTTAGAAGAGAACTTAATATTGCAAAATCGGAAATAGATGATTAGAAATTTCAAGTTGGTCCAATGGAATTTGGTTTCTAATGTTTCAGAGATGGATATTTTATAGAACCAAAGGGATTTCAGTTTTTTGTTTCTTTCCTTTTGTTCTCCTGGTTTGGTGGGGTCCAATCAATAGAATGTTAATGTATCCTTTTCCCCTTGGTGGTTCTGATTTTCAATTTAGCTCTTTTTGTTCTGGTTATCAAATATGGAACATCTTTGGATCCTGTTGCCACTTACTATATGGTTAATGTATCTCTTTCGTCTTGGACGTAGACTACATAAATTTCATGAAGGTTTTGATTAACAGTTTTTATGTGAAAATGATGCAAGTATATACTATTTCTTTCATCGGTACTGTTCTCGTAAATGCTGATTTAAAAATAATTCAAATATTCATAAAAGCTGACTAAAGATTATTTTATTGTGTTATATTTTCCCAGTATAATTTAAAATGGCTGGGAGAAACCGCATTCCTCGCGAGGCCTTCAATGAGCGGCGTGGATTTCCTCCTGAAAGACCTTTCCACCGTGGTCCTCCTCTGCCACAGCGACCTCCTCATCCTGCGATATTGGAGGAAGAGCTTGAAATGCAACATGCAGAAATTCGGAGGCTTTTGAGTGATAACAGCAGGCTAGCAGAAGATCGAATGGCTATACAACAAGAGCTTGGTGCTGCAAAAGATGAAATTCACCATTTGAATCTTGTTATTGGTGACATTCGTGCTGAGCAAGAACTGCACTCGAGGGCACTTATTGACAGAGGCTTAAAGATGGAGGCAGATCTCCGTGCAACTGAGCCACTGAAGAAGGAGGCTGGGCAACTCCGTGCAGAAGTTCAAAAATTGAATAATGTTAAGCAAGAACTAACTGGCCAAGTTCAGACTCTCAAGCAAGATGTGGCCAGGATGCAAGCAGATAATCAACAGATATCTGTTCTAAGAGCAGAAATTGATGGCCTGCACCAGGAGTTGATGCGTGCAAGGTACATTCCCGAATCCTTTTTCACCTTTTTTTTTTCTTTTTTAAAAAATCCAAACAATTGAAAGTTTCTGTTGAGAGTTTAACTTGCAGTGCTAATAATTCATATATCCAATTATATATTTAAATGCTAAATTAAAATTTTATTTCGTAGAAATGCCATTGATTATGAAAAGAAGGCAAATATTGAGCTGATGGAGCAGAGACAGGCAATGGAGAAGAACATGGTTTCCATGGCACGTGAAGTTGAAAAGCTACGTGCAGAACTTTCCGTTGTGGATGGTAGACCTTGGGCTGCTGGTATGATCTATCTTAATTATTATCTGGCTGGTTACGTTCCACACTGTGTTTCCAAGATTTCTATACCATCTGACTAAATTTTCTAATATTTCCTACCAAGACCAGTAGAATGTAATGAAGTTCATTCTCCTTCCCCCTCTGTTACGATCTTATTATTTCATCTCATGTTTTTATATATTTTTTAAATTCAGCTCGTCGGAGGGAGACTGAAACTTCAGGAATCCTTAGAAGAGAGAACAATATCTTTATATATTTTTTAAATTCGGACTTAGGGCTTTATTATTTCATATGTCCCTTTAAATAAGGACCAGTTTCATTACATTAGAGGAAACCTATTGTTAAAAGAAAAATAAATAAACTGAAATAAAAAGCATAATCAAGAACCTAAGGAAGTAAATAAAATCACAACCTAAGCCTTAAATAGAGAATCAAACTTATATAATGGCCTTTCCTTCAATAGATGTGGTCCATAACACCATCCTTCATCTTCTTAAAATTACAAGTTTTAGATCTTGGGACCTTCTTGTGAAAAGTCTGAAGTTCAAATGGTCAGGTGCATTTTTTGGATTCCATTAAACCTGCATTGACGATTCCTGTTTTTTGCCTCGCACTTTTGGTCTGCTCAATTGAATGATAGTATATTTTTCTCTCTTCTTGTCTAGAGTTCATAAATAACGGTTTAGTTTATATCATGTATTCACTGTAGAGCATCGTTGTTTTATGTTGCTTCTAATCTCAATGTCTTGATAATTGGTGGCTCAAGGTGGACCATATGGAATGAAATTCAACAGTTCAGAGGGGGCTTTTCCTGCATCATATGAAGGATATGGGGCTCATCTGGTATCTTTGCTCGTGTCTTGTTTAATTTATTTGTTTGACCATAAATCTAATACATTGGGATTTTTTTCCCAATTAACACTTGTTTTTACTTAACAGGCTGCTCCTGATAAGGGTCCTTTTCATGGTCCTCATCCTGGGACTTGGGAGAAGCCTCGCACTACACGTCGCTAGGAGCCTAGGAGAGTTTTTGCTTGACGGAAGAAAGGCGAAATTGTTGCTCCATTTTGGAAATGCAAAATATTGGACAACATGGAGTTCATCCTCTATGTTTGCCTGCCAAATCAGTAATTTTTATCTAATACGTCATTAGTCATGTTAAGCTTCTTATATAAGATTCTGTGTTGCTTTCTTTTCATTGGTAGTGGAAGTGGTACTCCTTATATATACACGAAACCATAATATGATATTTTTAACTTCTGTTGGGTCAAATCTTCATCATCATTTTTTATTGTTGTTTGTTTTATTTTATTAACTGTGTTGTTTGAATATAACTAATGCTACTTTAGGTAGAAATTCTGCCCCTCAATAATAGTTAATCTTGGGTCCATTTGAAGTTTACGGCCCACGAATGAAGTTTTTGGTTACTACCTACATGTTAACATACATCTACCCTTTTGACCTATTCGGCAAAATTCCTGGAACCATCTGTCTTTGATAGTAGATCGTAGAAGGCTGCAATTATGTTTTATCTTGTTGCAGAACGATAATGTAGCTAATGCTACTTTAGGTAAAAATGCTGCCCCCTAAATAAGGTAGTTAATCTGGGGTCAATTTGAAGTTTACAACCCATGAATGAAGCTTTTGGTTATTACCTACATGTTAATATACATGATACCTTTTTGACCTATTCGGCAAATTTCCTGGAACCATCTGTCTTGATAGATCATAGAAGGCTGCAATTACGTTTTATCTTGTTGGAGAAACATAATGCAGTTTCCAATCGGACACAAACTGTATGTCGTAGTAAATTATTTTATTTACTAGGTTCTCATGCAACACTTGAATACTAGAATTTTTGTTGGAGGGCATTTTTCTCTTGAAAATTGGAAGTTATCACTTAGTGAATATCATCAGGGGGGGATATGTTAGTCTTGAGTGTATTATTTTCTATGTGAAATAAATGGGATATCATTTGCCATGTTATATTTTGGTTCTGGATATATGCATTTCGAGTATTTGACCTGGGAGCAGAAGTCTGTGGGTGGATATGGTTCGACTAGCTTCTAACAGTCACTTTATGGACATTGTTGGGAGTTGAATTAAATTTCGAATGCATGCTATTCCTTCAAAGTTGTGCAGGTTTTGCATGTAATTCAGGGCGTTATAATAAGTTGGAGTTTTGTCAGGAAAAGAAATCTGTGTAAATGGATTCTTCTCTCAAATGATATAGACATTTAATTGGATAATGAGAATGGCCTCATGCTCTAGAAGCATATTGTTTAAAGCATTCAGGTGCTGCCCTTTTTTGTGCTTTTATTAGCACTTATTTCTTGATTTCTGCTGTTGTGGCGTATGATGTATGGTTGCTGCAAAATTAGAGGACGTGCTTTTAGGTTTTTGGTGCTCTTCTTGCTAGCAACACTTAAGAGGAGAATCATTTGTCTTAAATTTACTCGAAGTTTCCTTTCGCATCCACTGACATATGGTGGTGTACTATTTGAAGCTTGGAGACCAAATGTTTTAGGGAATAATATAAAGTTGGTATGGTGCGTGTGCGAATGAGGACCTATTTAGATATCTTTCTTGGAATTTGGTTCCTATTTTATTGTTCGATTTTGGAAAATATTACTTGGAAAACTGATGAAAGAGTATTTATTTCCATATATTCTTATGGTCTGTTGAGAATTTGCTGAAGAGTTAGACCATAATTGGTTTTGACTTCTCGTGGATTTTGACTTGAGGCATCTTGGATGGAGGAAGTGTTTATCTCGGCATTGTTTGTAGAAGTTGGTAAAACTACTTATAATTTCCTATGATGATGGAAGTTTTAGAAAAAGATTTTACCAGCTAAGAAGAGTGAGCCAAATGTACACATTTGTGTCTGCAGTAGCAGTATTCATCTTGAGTCGTTAACATTTTCTCCCACTCTTACCAGAATTAAAAGAAAGTTTAGTGATAGGGATTGATAGCATTTTCTTTGATTGAGGGAATTCTAGTATAAAGCTTATACAGCAGGTGGCATATGTGATGGAATATGTTCTACACATAGAAAAGGATCTGGATTTTGGAAATATTCAGTTATTGAATCTGTTTGCATATATGGTCCAGTTCTGTGGGTACATCCTTTCAGAACACATGGTGCTCGGAGACAAAACTCACTGCCCCTTGACTGAATGAAGTTTGCTGTTCATCCTTTGATTAAATTCATATCCATCATCTGCAGTATTATACCCTGTCCGTAGAATCATCTGCAATTCTGCAGTTTGTTCTGGTGCAAGTCTACAGCTCTGCTGTCTTTTTTTGTACTGCAAAGTTACTCAGTGGACAACGTATTCCAGCCACCTACATAATTACAAGTAGTTCCGTTATTCAATGACATGAAAATATATCTGAAAGTTGATGGGAAGCCATGTGGAAGATGCTGACTACTGATCGGTACTTTCATAGGCAAGTTTTCTGTCTTTTCTGTGTGTTCCATGGATCTTCAATTTCTTTTTAAGTAGAACTTCCCTGACACTCTATCTTTGATTTCGTTCTCTTAATTTGGCATTTCATGCTGTATATAGTTAGACCTATCTGTAAGTTAATTTGGCATTTCATGCTTTATATAGTTAGACCTATCTGTAAGGTGGTTAACTCTAATAATGTTGTCGTGATGGAGAATATCATAATCTTTCATACTCCTTGCTAACTTCTTTAGATTTATACCTTGCTCTGGTTAAATTAGATTCCCAGTTAGTCAATTTATAGTTATATTAGTTAGTGGATATGCATTTGTCATTTGCCAAGGATTTGTACGAGGATAAGGTTTTGCAGACAAAAAGTCAGAGAGTTATCATGCTATCAGGCACTTGTTTGTACCAATTTGTGGTGAGATATTCCATTGGTTGTGCCGGAACTAGTACTCTTGGATTGGAAGTTGAAACATTTAATTCCAAGTGCTCAAGGATGATAGAAGATAACAGTTCTATTTGGAACATTTGGTTGGATGCTTCTAGATTGATCGATTCACTTGAAAATACATACAATTAAGATATTCATTAAAGTTGGTTTAGAATTTATATATCTTGTACAAGAATTACAAATGGTGTCACTGCTGAGGATTGTTGTTTTTCTTCCCCATTTAATTGGAAAGGAGCTGGCCAAGCAACAGTCTACGAAGATATCTAAGAACAACTTTAGTGGCTTCTTTAACTAGATAGAGAAAATCTGTTGGATTGATTAATCACACGTACAAGCTAAACTTGTTTTCCTGCTCTGATATTTTGATGCTAGGCTATTGGAAGAAGTGAAAAATTTGTATCTCTGACTACATATTGCAATATCTTTATTCTTAATGGGATCAAAGTCTGAATCATTCTGTTTCTATAGCTGGAGCACTGTATTATAGGATAAGTAGTAGTAGTTTTATCCTACACATGGAGTCTGTGAAAGGTGGAATTGGCTGGATGCAAACCTCATCTGAGAACAGTTTCCTTGTTTTCAGAATTATGTTTTACTGCATCATGCTAACAATGTGAAGGAAAATAGATCTATTTTCTTCGAAGATGTTCCCTTGATCATGGACAGTTGGATGAACATTATTAGACAGACGCTATTTGCTTGCTGTCCTTCACATAACCAAAAGATATATGGAAAATACGACTAGCAGTTCTGAAGAGTTGTTGGCCTGAAATTGTTAGTTACGAATGTCATGTTAATGATATGTTTACGTGATTGTAGAAATGGAGCAGGAATAGATGTGATTCGTGGATTGATGCATTGCTTGCAAGTTCTTTTACACCAGTTAATATATAATTTTGCAGTTTCCTTAGATCATTTTGGTGGTTAAATAGAATTGTTGCCTGTTTACCACTCACCTGAAGATTCTTTTTATTAGTCAACTTCCCCTACAATGAAAATTGATATTTCAGTTTCTGGATTCTTCCTAATTTTATGTTTTTAATGTTTGCAGATGAGAACCTGCATGCATCATGCAATAAGGTGAAGAAAGAAGATCATGTATATATCTTACATGAGATTGAGGAAATATAAATGAATGAGGTAAAGTTGCATACATGCATGTTCTAGACAAAACATGGAAGAAAATGGAAAAAAAGGATCTTTCTGAATGTGAGTTTATTGGCATACATGCATGTCAATATTAACCATCTCTTTCTGTTGCCAGTCATTCTCAGATATCCCGGAATCTCCAGTAATGGCATGATTCTATCGCAATTCCCTTGCATGATCATTGATCAACCATTTAGGTTTTCATATAAACTCGTTTCAGTTAATCTAACATTTTCATGAAATGTTTTACTGTCTTATCAATCAAAAGAGGTTTATACTTTGCATGAATATCCTTATCTGAAAAAAACATTTTCTTTGATATCACAAATTGACCTACATGATTAGCTTGCATGCATGACAGAAAAAGTAGACCTAAATAATTTGATATTCTATGAAAAGCCAATCCTCCAAATTACAACGCGCACACACACACATACATACATACATAACATCGTCAAAAACAACTGGCATACACAAAAGTTATATTATTACAGCCTCATGCATTGCTTGTTTATGATCTGTAGTATCTTTGCTTCACATGCCATTTCCTATTGGCCATGCCCACTTCTTTCTGTTTTGAATCCAACCATTATTGCTGACCCTACGTCTTGGTGTAGTCTTTTCTCCAACTTATCCTTCTTTTGAATGGAATGGGTAGTTTGGACTTTAAACATCTCGGGCGTATTAATATAAATATTATAATAAAAATAAAGATTATTGCTGAAGTTTATGTAATTAAAGTCGAGGTTTTTTTTTGGTCTAATTTTCTATTTGAAGGTAATCAAAGTCAAGTTTTGAGATTTCAAATATATTTACAAAAATCAAGATTTTTTCTTACAATAATACTATAATTTACATTAACAAATTTACAATTCTACATTAGAGATTCAAGTCGTAGTCAAAGACAAAAAAAAATAATAGTATTAAAACTCTTGGTTAATTTTATGTTTAGATTTCATAGGTATTCGTGAAATTTGTGTGAAAAAATATCAAAATTAAAATAATAAAGTACTATTAAAAATACTAAGAATTTAATTAGAATAATTAAGTTGGAGTGAGAGTAATTAAAAATGATATTAGATTTTTTTAATTGTAAATTTAAAGTATTTATCCCATAACATTTGGGCGAATGTCATTTGAGAGGAATTAATTTGTTAATTTCAAAATTGACAAAGACATAAATGACGTCAAAACTAAAATGTTTAAGTAAATTAATTATGATTTCAGCATTTTGAATTAAAAACATTTGTTTCTTTGAAATGTATAAAGATTATTATTTTTATTTTTTTTAGTAGACGGATTAAAATAATATTTAAAAAAAAAAAGAAACTGAAATACATGTCATCTTTAAAGACATCGTCCCGCTCCCTTCATAAACGCTTTATTGCTTAACCCCTACCTCCACATTTCTCCTATCCTTTCTTGCCCAAGAACAAAGCCTTCGAGACTTTGTTTTGTCCATGACAACCTATGGCACGATCCCCGACTTCCTCATTGCCCTCGGCAAACATTGAGTACCTATCTCGAGCAAAAGACCGTATCAAAGAGGGCCTCGGAGCTCGACGTCCGTGGAAACTCATGTTCGACATCCACTCCATCAACTTCCCTCGAACTCTTTCTGAAGCCATTTCCAGGTTCAAAACTAACGCATGCTACTTCCGCATGAACTATGCCATAATCGTGCTCATCATCCTTTTCCTCAGCCTACTATGGCATCCCATCTCCCTCATAGTCCTTGTTATCATGATGACCCTTTGGTTGTTCTTGTACTTCCTACGGGACGAACCCTTGGTTGTTTTTAACAGCACGATTGATGACCGTGTGATGCTAGTTGCGCTGGGGGTTTCGACCTTTGTGTTCTTGCTGTTGACTGATGCCACTGGCAACATTTTGGCTTCGGTTTTGATCGGTGCAGTTGTCGTCTTGTTGCACGCTGCATTGAGGAAGATCGATGATTTGTACGATGAAGAAAATACTGGCTTGATTTCTGGACCTTCACCATCTTCATGACTCTGGGTTTCTTTGTCTCTTTCTATTCACATGCCTTACAAAACTAGCCATTGTTTAAGTGAATAGTTGATGATAATTGGCTGAGTAAACTGTATGTTGAAAGAGTCTGGTTATGGTTCTTGTTCTTGACGATCGATTTGTATTTTTCTCTGTTTTTTCTGTTATAACATAGCCTTTCGCTTTCAGTTTCACACCGATTCCTTGGCTTGCAAGTTACTTTTTCAGACATTAGCGTCGGATACAAGTGTCGGTCTATTTGTATTCATATTGCTGTTTAAATATGCGTCAAATATAAATGTCAAATACGAAAATGTGCAAGATAGATGTGTGGTTGTTAGGGATGGACTGGGGTCAGACTATTACATCTTTCTACTCGTCACTCAATTTGATTCGATTTGAATTTAAAGAGATTTTATTCGATCCGAAAATCGACATGATTTTTGGATAAAATCTTGTAACCAATCAGATAATACACAAATATATATTTTTATATATAATTCATTTTATTAGATAAAATAGAAACAGTCTTATAAAATCGGGTCAGAATCGTCTGGTTCGGAAATGCCCATCCCTAGTGATCGTGGCCATAATGATAGAACTCATATGGGGCGTATAGCTTGATGGCAAAAAGAAAAGGTTAAAGAAGGCAAAGTAAAAGGCCTTTTGACATGTGATTTGAAGTTTGAAGCCATTACATATGCAAGAGCCGAATCCTGTTTTGTAAATTAATGTTTGGGATAATCTGATGCTAATGTTTGGCTTGTCCTACATTGGATGTCCGGTTATGCCTTTTGCTATGGTTCATGTGTTTTGGTTCTGAAATTCAAACAGGATATTTTGTTGGAAATCCATTTAATTCAATTAATGATGATTAGTAATATGATTAATGGAATATATGCAAAAACGAGCTTGATCGATACCATTTATTAACGTTTCTTTCACATTTATTATATTACACACGCTCGTATCGTGTCACTGATATGTGTTCTAGCAAATAACCAACAAAGATAACAGCAGGCTTCTCTTGAAATTGAAAATGGATCATTCATTTTTATGGAACTGGCTTTGCTAACCAAAATCCAAGCATCCTGAGCTCTTTTACATGCTTCTTTAGTGGTTTGATCACTTACACCAGTTGGTTGGTTATTCAGCCTGCAATATGTTGGTTCCACGGTCACCATTTGAACAATTTACAGCATCCGACTGTCTTCACATCACCGGAAATAGAACAAGCCACGAAAGTGATGACGGATCTTCAGAGCAGCCTGTTGCCTTTATCGGACCGAGGCGGCATGCACATGGAGTATATATAACTGCCTTTGCCAATTTTAAATACGATTATCTGGTAGACTCATTTGATTACCCCAAATGACACGACTTACTGGATTTGTAGGTATGCAAGGGCTAGGATGAGGAAGCACTAGGAAAAAGGGAATGAAGTTGGCAATTTACATGAAGGTCAGGTCCAAAAGGGAGGCATCCCAGTGCCCGGTTGTATTATGTAAGCACAGTTTCGTGTCCCTATTTTGAAGGGCTGACTTAATTTTCTAACATTGTAAAGGCAGATTTCAGTGCATTTATGAAATGGATTATTCACCTGGTAAACTGTTCACTTTTTGCATGGATGGTCAGTTTTTGCTTATGCTAAATACCCGAAGCTAACGAGTTACTTGATCCTATAGAGTTAGAATTTTTATTGAAATTCGAGTTGAGTCGGATTTAGGGTAAAAAAAATTCACCCAACCCAAATAATTATTATAATACCCCAACCAATTCATCATATTTGTTTTCTGGAAATAGGGTTTTAGGTATAACCACACTGAATTTTATGAAACGGCTGAGTTTTCATACAGAAAAATACATGATTGTTCAAAACCTGACCAAAGAACACAAGAGGAGAAATCAATGTTACAGACAACAAAACAACCAACCCCATTGGCTTCACTTGTGTCAGAGCACCCCATTAAAAACAGGGTAAGAAAAAATTGAACCTTCTGGTATGACCCATCTTTCTGCAACTTTCAGCCTTGTGTCATCGTGAGAGAAACATGCAATGGCCGGGTAAATTTCATGTTATGGAAAAAGAAACGAGCTTTTTTACTGGTAAAATGATAAGGATGTTTCACCATCTGTTTGAATAAATGACTTCAAAATCCCACGACTTCAAAGCCCCGAGTTTTGTTTGTTTCTTCATGCAAAGACAAAATTGCAGACCAATTCTTTTGTCGGCTTTGCCTGTTTCAGTCTAAAACAAAACAATGGGGAAAGCAAAACCAGTCTTTTACCATGAACTGAAAAAGATACATTTTTTACTTACTGCTCAACAATAAAAGATTCAAAGCAACTGCTCCCTCCCCTGCCTTTGCACTGTCAAACAAAATCCCATGCCCATAGACATGTGAAAGAAGGTTATATAGTATGATCAAAAATCTGTCAGCATTCTTACAGTCCAACTTCGGGGTACGTGACTATCCTTCCCAACCGAGGTTCAAACTCAGATTCTCTCCTTAGGAGTACAATGTGCCTACGATTGCACCAATATCGAATCACATAAAGATTGAATTACTTGAATTTATAGTACAAAGCATGCAAAAAGAGGGGGAATGAAGCAAATTTCTCAAGCTGATTCATTGACTTAATTAGAAGTTGCATATTCACCATAGCTTTTGAAAATGGGCATTTCCAAAAAGAAATACAAAAACCCTACTAAAATCCTTGCTTCCAAAACTACTACTGTACAAAAGCAAAATCTAAACACTAAAAGAAAATACCACGGAAAGGCGACATGTGTAACACATGTATATAGCTTACCGTGTGTTGAGAAGCCCAGTAAGCAAGCCTTTTACAAATGATCTTCACATGAAGTCAAGGGAGATCTTTCCGCTGAACCTGTCTAATGAATCACTCGTGAGTGGTCCGCTGTAATGCCATTGCTGCTCTCCCCATAACCGACCACTACGGTTGCCAACATCATAACCTGGCGATGAGTAATTTGCGTTCATGAGCACATCACCTTCCAATATGCGGAGCACCTGTTGCGAAAGAGCATTCAAGCAATCATCAACCAGCATATTCAATTTGACTTCAAAATTCATGATTTGACAAAGAAGAGATTTCCGTAAACCCGAAGGCATTGGTTCCAAATACATTACATTCTAAGCAACATAATCTGATATCTAACCATACATGTCTTCCATTCTGTATTCGAAATCGGAAAATATACAGCTAGAAAAATAACAACCAGAGACGACTGTTTATTCGAAAAACACTTCAACACAACTTCAATAGTGAATCTATGTTTCTGTTGAGTTTGCATTGGTTTTAAGGCCACAAAGATCGTATATAAAAATAACACTAAGAAAATAATATATTGCAATAAAGTATAAAATTTCTGAGTACCTGTGACATGCGAGGCCTAGAATGAGGATCCCGCCTTAAGCATAATGATGCAGCATGAAGCATGCAATAGGCCTCGTGTTCAGAATAACGATCCTCCAATCTGGGGTCAACCAATTCATCTATAGCATATTCTTCCAAAAGTGGACGTGCCTATTCAAGATTATAATATAAGCAATAAGTAATCTTGTTTTGGACCTTCATTCTTATGACAGATGGCACCATGTATTATAAAAATTAAGTTACACACGAGTAAAGACTAGTCTCTTGCAGCAAGATATACAAGCAGAGTTTCAAAATTACCCATTCAGTAAGACATTGCTGGCCCTTTGGCCTATTAAGGTCCACAGCTTTCCGTCCAGTAACTAGTTCAATTAACACCACTCCGAAGGAATAAACATCGGCTTTTTCTGTGATTTGGCCACTTTGAGCAGATTCTGGTGCCAAATACCTATATCACAGCATAAACGATTATTGAAATCTTCAATGGCATATAGGGAAGGTAAATTATAAAAGGGTAAAAAAAAGTCTTCGAAGACTACCCAAATGTTCCAATAACTCTGGTTTCCACTCCAGTATCACCGTCAGGTTGCCATCTTGCAAGGCCAAAATCACCAACCTATTAAAACCAAAACTGAATGAACACCTGAGTTTGGAAGTAATACTAATGCGTATGTTGGGAAAATTAAATGCCAACTGAGTGAAACCCTTTAAAATTTGAACACCAAAAAAAAATATTTTCATAGTTTTCGCATCAAAGATATTTTACTAGAACCAAAAAGATAATAATAATTAAGGATTCTCCTTAATGTCAAGGCAAGAAATAAAGAATTCTTTCAGCTTGTAAATACCAAATTCAAAACGATGCAGAGTTAGAAAGTCTGCATACCAAAGGTTCAAAATCATGGGTGATGAGGATGTTGTTCGGCCGCATGTCACGGTGCACAATGCAGCCAACTCTGCATTCTTCATGTAGGTATCTCAGACCTCTAGCAGCTCCTACTGCAATCTTTTGCCGAGCAGACCATTCTAGAGGTTCCCGATGACGCCCTGAAAGACATGAAATTTATGGTATAGTTAAAATGATGGTTTCTAGATATATAAAATTAAAATAAAAAGAAAAAATAAGTATGACCGACCAGTCATTTTCTTTTTTTCCTACAAACTTGATTCTGATTATGTTAACCTAACTGCAAGTAACTTCAGCTATCAATAGTTTTCGAGTTCTGCATTTCTTTTCCTTACAGAATGTTGGGAGGCAAGTCAGGCTAGAGGGTAAGGTGGTTGGAGAAACTTCTAATTCAATTGCATTAGAACAACATGAAAAGTTTACTGATTTATTCTACTTCAACAAAAAGAAATACCATATAGATGAGAATCCAGGGATCCATTGCATATGTACTCATAAACAAGCAAGCGCCTTCTATCCTCGATGCAGAATCCAATCAGCATAACAACATTCCTATGCTGAGCACAGCTCAGGACTTCCACCTCTGAGCAGAACTCAACATCTTCTTGAGAACTAGCCAATTTGTGTTGCTTGACTGCAATCGCCTGACCATCAGGGAGTAGCCCTCTATGAACAGATCCGAACCCACCCTCAGCCAAGAAATTAGCTTGTGAAAACCCACCAGTTGCAAGCTCCAATTCAGCATAGGTAAACCACCTTGGTGGTTTTCCAAATACAGGTGCCTTATGCTGACATATTGAACACAATGAAGGAGGGCCAGGAGGGGCATTTCTCGATAATGAAACTGCATCCCTCACGTTTCCACTAAATTCAGTATCACTCCTAAAACTTGATATTCCAATGCCAGCCTCTCTATCAAATTCTGAAAATTTCTCCAGCAAGCTTTAGTTGTTGAAGCTTGGGCCCCATCATGAACCCTTCCCGAAGTTTCTTCAAGGTGTCGTGAGGATTGATGATGAGAAGTAAGATACTCTGTTATCCATGGTTGGAACCAAAAACTCGTTGAAGCTAAGGATAAATTTTCACTCTCTGAGTCGGAACCACATTCATCAAGATCCTCAATTTCTTTAATGACCAATGATTCCTCCTTCTTCAGGTCTCCATTCCCTTCTGAGTTGAAAAAAAGGAGAAGTGCCTGGATCGGAGCTCGATACTGAAGAAGTTCCTGCTTCAGTAGTGGTAAATGGTGTCCCAAGCTCTGGACTACTAGTTGGAGTGGCAACTGGCCCTTGAATAGAACCAGATGATGCATCTTTGTTTTGGGGATACTTTTCAGATGCTTCATCTCCCCCAGAATTTAATAGACAAGAAGCTTCAGCTTCCTTCTCAGGTGATCCAACCAAATTTAAGCGGAGAACTTTTGCCTGTGAATTCTTCATAACCACAATGTGGCATTGCAACTCCTCAATGCATCGTTTTTCCTCGTGCTTGAGCTGCCTAGAAAATCCAAGAAACGAAGTCAAAAGGATGGGGAAATTCAAAGAGTAAGTATCTACCCTTTTGGATCAAACACAAAAGAAAAAGGGGAAAGGAAACTAAAGGAAGAAGAAATAGAGGAAACAGGATGTTACTTGTCCAATACAACCCAACTAGCTAGGGCTCGCTTGGCCTCGGCAGCCACAGCTCCAGATGGTGATCCAGAAACAATTTTTATCTTGACATTGATCTGTTCAGTTAGGTTGGGAAACAAAACATTACCAGGCCATGACATTTAGATAAAATAGTAATCTAGTCGAGAGCAAGTTATTTACCTTGTTTGGATCATAAACATCATGAAGCTGGAGAATCATCTGTGAGCAGGAATCAGAGATATCAGATTTTTTCTCTGAATTTGATCCTGAGTGAGACTTCCTACTGGCGCAGTCCCCGGCAAATCTTGGAAAACTCCATTTTCTACCTGCAGGAGTACAGCATTTAACCAAACCACAATCATTCCTAATTATGACTCTTTCAAGTTTTGATCACATTTCTCTGTGCCACGACATAACTTAACATGCTCGTGGAAACAAAAAACACTAACTTCTTCAGACAGAAACGCTAATTATGGTACACGGTATAACCAAACCACTTGGACAGTGGGGTTCAAA